GTTATGCTTACTTTAAATTTATATAGTAAATATGTATGACCGTTACAATCGAATCGATCCACATGTAATCACCTCTCGCATGGTCGCTCATTCGATTTCCGAAATATCACAAATGATTCATATTCGTCGCGGTAATTTCACGGGAATTAGATCGGCCCAAATGCCTGGATTGTCGATTTACAATAAATTTTGATGGCGGAATCGGTGCGGGGAATAATGGTTTTGTTTACCGAAAGCTTAGGGTCGTTATTTTAATGACACCGAATTACAAATGCTATGGTTTATAACAAAGCGGTTGTGTAATCATAGTTTGTTACTTATGTGTGATTATATTTTTTATTTTTATTATATATAAAGTAGGAATATTACAATTATACTTAGTTAATTTACAAAAATAGGTAACAACTTAAATTACTCCTCTGTTGCCGAAATAGGAAAAGACATCCTGTATTCCAGCGTACAGTGCCCTAAAACTCCCCATAGAACCCATAGAATTCACAATGAATTTCCTTATATGACAATATGAGCAATTTTGTAGATATATAACCTAATTATGCTGAAACAAAAACTGTAAGTGTGTGCATGCATGTGTGTGTATGTGTGTTTGTGTATGTGTGTGTATGTGTTTGTGATTTTAAAAATAAAATTTAACAATGACTTTTAGCTGTATAGAATAGTTTATTTTTTTTCTTTAAACGAGCATTATGTCATAATATAATATTAAGATAATGTCCTATCAAATTTCAAAGATTAGCTTTGAGGCCTATTTTACATACGAAATATGAAATAATAAGCCCTATTTCGTAGATATCACAGGTTACTTTTTATTCATAAGTTTGTTTAAAATCTATTGGTAATAATACTATAAAGAAGAAAGATTGATTGTTTATTTGCATTGAATAAGCTTCGAAACTACTGGACTGATTTTAAAAACGGAAAGCTACATCAAACGCAGGTGACAAGGCTATGATTTACGAGGGCGAAGTCGCGGAAAACAGTATACATATTATTTATACATGTGTTATAAGATTATAGCGTAATTTATTTAAAATTAAAACCAATACATAATAAAACCAACGCCATCTTTATTCATGACGAAATTTCCTTTAATAAAACGCAAAAGTATCACGAGCAATTACCTAGAGATCGTCAAAGTCGTTGGTGACAACCCTGACTCTAATTTATGTTACGTGGCGATTATCACGCGCGTCACTTCACATACGCGATTATAGAGTAATAAGATTGCATGCCGCTGGCCAACCAATAACAACCCCCCCACCCCTCAACACCCGGTCTACCCCTGGCAATACTGTATGTATGTATGTATCGTATATTGACGGGTTACCAACTCACCCGTAATATTTTGATGACAAAATCTATTTATAAATTACTTATGCTAGTATGACAGGCAATGTTTTATTTCAGCTATGTGTGATAGTGCAACACTTATTACTAACTGACTAACTAACCACGGCTTCGTGTTTGTGGTCAAAGTGAATGTATTTAAAAATCGAAGGGTCAAAGATGTTTTATGCGGCAAAAAACATATATCACACTTCTATTCTCAGAGACGGATTTATCCTATGACCACAGTAGGCCTAGGCTAGCTAGACCAGTAGGGCTAGGGCAGCACATAATCTCATAAAAAATACTAATGATAACAAGTAATTACCTAAATTATATGAAATATTGCTGCTGCCCAAAGCCGAATGATGAAATACCAGGAACTGGGTAAAAACAACGTTTATAATGTTTATATGTATATACAGTCAAACCTCTATAAGTCGAACATCAAGGGAGACGCCAAAAAATTCGAGTAATAGAGTTTTCGAATTATAGAGGATTTCGACTTAGGCGGATTTTGATTCGACATAAAGAGGTTGAGATTCATTCTTATTATTTTGAGTTGGAGAGGTAAAATAAATAAAAAATTTAGTTGCAGAGGTGATAAACATATTATAATTTTTGTATTACAAATCAACAGTGTTCAAAACATCCTTAAATAAAAAATATGTCATTAAAAGAAGTCAGTATTTTTTTTTGTTTTAGATAGTTTGGTTGTTCTCTATCTATAGCTAAATAGAGGTGATTAATTTCAAATAGTCGAGTTCACGTGAGTCATAAGCCTATTTATTGTATACTCCTTTGTTTTCTAAGAAACAATGGAGCACTTTCATCGTCGGTAAATTCTTAAAATCTTAAATTCATTTTATTTTTCTTCGAGCTATAGAGGTGAAAAGTTTCAAATAGTCGAGTTGTAAAGGTTGTAAAATCAAACATTGCTATGTTTGAGATACAGAGGTCCAATTTAATTTTTCGAGTTATAGAGGGAAAATATGTACCAAAATGGCTTACAGGGACTCACTGATTATTTCGACTAATAGAGGGTTGAAATTTCGAGTAATGGAGGTTTTGGTGTTTGAAGGGAAGGTAACAAAACATTTTTTCGAGATTCGGAGGTTTTCGACTTATCGAGGTTCGACTTAACGAGGTCCTACTGTATAATTATAAGAGCGAATTCATACACTATAACATTATTCATGTTGCGTGCAGTCATGTTGATATGAAGAAGTACGGAGGAGATGGAGGTAGCTTCCCCATTGCAGTTCTAACGTATTAACCACTGTACTATTGACCTCCTATGTTACGAAACTATAGATGTTGCGGCGCCTACATTCGATTCCGAAGTTCGCTTTTAAATGCCTCTAAAAAATCAACGACAAAGGTGCGAATGTAAATTTTAACGTGCTAATAAATTAACAGCACCTGATGCTCGGAACTGTAAAAACGTGAACACTGTGCGTTCGATACACGTTCACACTATAGCTGTCTCTGTTTACCCTAAACATTCAATTGAGATGCGAATATTTACTTTTACGGCTCTCGCATCAGCATGCAAACGGCGGCCGCCCGCCCGCCGATAGCTCACAACCATACGAGAGATAGTAGACCTACTCTGAATCTGAATCGTATGAAATAGGACATAAGTAAAACCTTATCATAAATGAAAGAAACAAATGAATTCCAGCTTTGGTAATTCGATAATTAACTAATAAACAATATCGGTACCTTCCTACCTTCAATACCTTCTTTTTGGTTTGCTCTCTCATAGTATACTTAGGTCATAGGCAGATATATATCACGAAATACTTTCAAAAGATATTTCCTTATTTGCGCTTATGAAATCGATGCTACTAGGTTGTGACATGAACTGTGTCACACCCGCCTACAAATGTGAGGCCAGTGAAGAATAATAGCGCTTAATGAGACGTTTAATCGTCTCCCAACTATTTATACAGCCAATAAAGCCGGAGTTTACCATATCAATCGGATGGGTATAAACCGGCAATAAAGCCTGCCTATGGCGAACTTTTTCCTACCGCTAACAATGGATCTCGAATTTATGTACGTCCGCGGAATAAGTGTGCGGCTGACAGTTAAATTGCAAAAGTTAATGCATAAATAAAAGGTAACAATATAGGAGGGCTGCCTTCGACCCTCTGGGCTAAGCCTCTTACGATGTACGCTTCCAGCCAACAGGGAAAGCTTCCAACCTCTTAAATATATTACCGTAAGGTTTAATATAAAGATAAAAACTTGCTTAAGTTTCCCTTTTATTCTGATGCGGACGTCATAAAGCTTAGCCTAGATAGAAAATGCGTTTAAGAATGGGCGTTGATTGAATCATTCAGTGTTACTCTTGGAAATGAAGTAATAAGGTGGTGGTGTGTTTGAAACGAGGTTCGTAAGGATTTTTGGTGGAAGTGCTCGTTCACTAATAAACATATTTAGTGTCAATTTATCAGAATTTAGCACGTTCTTAGATGCTTTAAGCGCTAACAAGCTAAGAGATAGATCGAAGATAGTAGTGTTTGAATCAGACTAGTGCCCGTTTTCACTAAAGTGAGAAGTGGCCTAAATCTAAGGTAAAAATATGCTTCACCAATGACAAGGAGCCACCTAACCACTTTAAGCAACGCCTAAAGTTCACGAGAAAATACAAGATCACCTTGTCTCTTTACGTATAAAGGCCACTAACGTGATATTGGTGGAATTATATAAACACAAATATGCCATACATTAAAAAAAAGGAACTGAAGCATGCGAAATCATCGACAAACTTTGCCTATCTAAGCAAGTGCTTATTTAGGTAATACCTAACGTTACGTTGGTGAAACGAGAGATCTGCTTATGCTATTCTTAATATTAAGTGATTTCTAGTTAAGTTACATATGTCTTGTTCTAGGTAAGTGAAAACGGGCATAGGTGTAACGTCTTTCTGTGTTCTGTGGGTGTAACTGTACCTTTTTGCTTGTTGTAGTTTTGTTCCCTGTACTCCTAAGTTGTCTTAGCTAATACACTGTTTCCGAAGTTTTTGATAATATTCTGTAAACTTCTCGACTAAGGTGATAGTATAAGTCTGGTCTTCAATGATTAAATAGTACAGTAACCCATCTTTGTCATATACATGAACTTCATATACTTAAACTCTTACTAATAAGACAGACTTAATGGCAACTTGGCTTGGAACACCGTTGGGTCTTAAATTGGGACTAGAACCTACATTGAACACCCGGAGAATCGTTATCCAATTCCTTTTCCAAGTTTCATCTTCCAAGGATTAAACTTTGGGGTTTTTTTTTTAGTGGAAACATCCAATTTACTTCGTTACTTATCAGGTGGTAGAGTATATGCGAAGCATTATATTTACGCAGGCATTTATTACAAGTAATTATTATAATAAGTATGGTAACCCCTCCCGCCTTTCTATGCACTGGCAATAAGGCATTATGACATTCTATCACTGTTACTACAAACGGAGCGAGGACCACCTGATTATTTCTTATAATTCTATTCAAGCTCCAAGGAGTTCTCTCCAAGCTATGGTTTTCTTCAACATTCATTAGCCCCCTTAGAAATGAAGTGTTGACGTCTCCTCTACGATGACTGAAATCAAGTTATTTGTAAGGCAGGTTATTTGTAATCTGATAGGTACTTACCACTCTCAGAAACGGATGAGGGCGATCTCTCCGCAGTAGAGACTCCTGATGAGGACTCTAATGATGAGAGCGAGTCTGCCCGCGTGCTGTGCGGTAGGATCGTCTCGCCGAGGCTACGCAGGGGCACGTCGCATGGCGCTGCGCGGAGCTGTGCCAGCCTCCGTCTGAGGTAACGTTGTTCACGTGCCAGCTGCTCCTTGTGACTCGAATGTCGCTTTTCTCTTTCTTCCAAACTCTGCAACAATGAAAAGTGATCGTAAATTGTTTGTTATTATTACGGAGTGCAGCGGCTTGATATTTTGTCGAGCCCTTACTAGATGGCATTGCGTGTCATCTAAATCGTGCTAGTCGGATGAAACAACGCGTGCAAAATATACGTCGGAAGAAAGGGACGGGCATTGGGGAAGAAAAGGACGGGTAGCCGTTTCCGAACTTTTTTAAAAAAGGTGTTCTACATTCTAGGAAGGCATTGGAGTCAAGACACATTTCAACATCAAATTCTCAATCTCATCAACCCTTTTTACGTCCCCACTGCAGGGACTCAGGCCTTCCTTATGGATTGGTTCAGGTTGACTCTCCACGCTGGCCCAATGCGAATTGGAGGGTATTAACGACTGCAAATGTTGCCGGAACCAACGGCTTAACGTGTCTTCCGAAGTACGGAGTAGTATAATAATTTTTTAAGTCAACCATCCCGCGACCGAGCCTTGCGAAAGTTGCTTAACAACAACGATCACGGGCCGCGGCGCTTATCCATTACGTCACCGAGTTACTCACAACATCAAATAATTACGTACTATTGGAAAGTCGTGTCATATGTAGGTATAATAGGTGTGTAATAATTTTAAAAAGATTTTCATTAATTATCTATACCAGAAATTTGGGAGAGGAAGTAAGAGTGGCAGAGTGGCAAAAGGCAAACTTGACTGACTTAAATGTCAACGCACTACTGAACCTAGTACCTAGAAATTTGGTACAGGGATTCTTTTCGTGATGCAAATGAGCACTAAGATTGAATTTTTAGAAATTCAACCCCTAACGGGTGAATTAGGAGAGTGAAGTTTATATGAACCACGTAGGCAAAGCCGCTGGCTGGCTTAGCTTAATTACCAATAAAAATAGTATCTTCAACAATTAAACAATGCGTATAAATGACCTCCATTTCATAATGGATTGAATCAAATCCCATTTGGTGGCGTAATGGTGGGAGCCTACACGCATTAATCACATAATTGATGGTAAAGCGCTGATAGAATCCGATGTAATCCCCTTATGATTATAAACAATATACACGCAATAACAGTTTTGCTGATCGACAATATTAGATTTAGTATTTACGGGCCAATTGGATTAACGAGAGGTTCGTGGGTTGAGATTTACAGCGATAGACAGCTGTATAATCCAGACAAATATTTAATAGCTGTTTTTTAATATTATTATTTATATTTAAAAACAGGTACAAGCCTCGTGGTCCCTAGGAAACTGTTTGAAATATCGATTCATATCAAGACACGGATATAATTACAATGACAAATTGAATAGTAAACAATGGTTACCATGGTAACGTTTTAATTCCCTATGCAGACTTCTGCTACTATTTTCATCACTATTTGCAGTCGAGATAATATATAGCCTATGTTATCCGCATATGAAGTAGCTTTCCTAGGTAAAAGTCTTTTTTTTTAATCGGTCGCGTAGTATCGGAGCCCATTCGATTCAAACAAACGATGAAATCGTTCCTCTTTATATTATTAGTATATATGTTGATGATGGTCTGTCCTGATCTTCTTTAGTTTAACGTCTTCAGCTACATATTAGCAAAATATGTATTTTTAAATTTGCTCCAGCAATTATCCTATTACCAATGGAGGATAAGCGCACGTCTAAGGGGTCGGCTGTATAAAAATTAAAGGTTTGTATTATTTTTAAACATGGTTTTTACCATATGCGTGTGGTTGAACGGTCGGCAGAAAGGGAGTCCACATCAGGCATTCGCCGTCAGACTGGGATGAAATATTCCATCGTAAATTTGGCGCGGCTCACCGACAACGGTTCGGGTGACTATTTATGAACCGTTCGACACATTATTATACTTTTCTATGGTAAATTCAAACAATTATTAATGTACCTAAAATATTAATATTTTTTGTTTTAATATAATATATAACGGCGGGTAGTCAGAAGGGGCTATTACGAAGCCCAAATAGATCGTCCATCGGAGGACTATCTTTAAAATAACTCTGCAGGCGTGTATACCAATGTGGATTTATTCCATTTTATTACTTTTCATATGAAAATATAACGAGATGAGCGTGATGTCGTCGGATGTCTTTACTCCTCGGCGATCGGAAACAGTGTGCCAAAATGGCGGCAGCTTGCTTTTTGTTAACGAACAGTCAAAGTCAGTGTCACCATTCTAATAAAATTAAAAGTATCGATGATCACGCTCTCTCTACAATCGAGTAACTAGCAATTAAAAAAAAAGAAACTAAATCAAACGATCTTCGCAACGATGATGCGACGTATACTTTATTGCACTTAATATAAACACAGGTTACAGGAAAATTACAGTAAACAGAAACAGAATACAAATGGCGGCCTTATTGCTATGCAGCAATTTCTTCAAAAAAACCAATGGAGAGAAAAAAAATAACGGATAGTGTGAGAGTGGTAGGTGCAATATAAGGAAAGATAAATACGGAAGAAGGATACATTATTGAAAAAGCAGGAATACTGCCACTGTTTTCATAAACTGTTCTGAAATTGTTATATATTTAATGGATTTTCATATGTGTTGTATTGAAATTGCTTGTAAAGAATACGTAGTTGAGCGACAAGTTCATATGGATTATGCGAGGGTAACATCTGGTACATTTCTTGCGCCCAGATTGCGCAGTAACAATAAAATAATTAAAAAGGTAAATGTCTTTTAAAATGAATCGCATTAGTCCTTACTCTAGCTATATCATCATCCAGCAGTTGTACGTCGCAAAAGCCAAGTATTAATCTATAAATAGTAAACATTGTGATTACATAAAAAGGTAAGGCAATGTATTATGGAAGAAATAAATAGTAAATAAAATGCATAGACACAGAGAAATTGGTCGATCAGTGTACAAAATTAATCCAAAAAATGATGGACCGTGTTAAACGTATTTTTTAGTATTAAACATATCATACATAATACGTACAGATTAATGTCGTGTTCGGCGACACAGCTTCACGAGTGATTCAAGATAATACCTCAGTCTTTAAAGTACGATCTAAAAAAACATCCCCGAAATATAAAAACCTTTTTGCGTGACCGTGTGACTCAGACGCTTCCGAAAAAAAACTGTTAAAATATAGGATTATGAAGGCTTTTTTCTAAGCTGACGCATATAGTATATAGTATATAAATACAATAAATATTGTTCTTCCGAAAGCTCCGAACTAATTTAAATGGGCTTAAGGTTCGGTATTATCTTCGGATTTTTAAATCTTGTTAGATTAAAGGTTTAAAAGGATTTTCAAATTTTCTCAATTTAATATAACCACCAGAAGTTTTATATATTTCTTGTTTCTATATTTGTTAATACATATTTCTATTACCAACCTTAAAAAATTACACCAAAAGTAAATTGTTTTATCACTTTATCTATACTATAAAACAGTATAGATAATTTTTTCAAATTGAATTCTAATTGGTTTATAAGGTAATTAATAGGTTTATATATATTTCTTTTAAGCCTCACTAGATGTCATGTGACTTTTGGAAATAGAAGAACTCGAGTATCGGTCATAAACTCATCAAATAGCCCTTGGAAGGCTAAGCAACCATTGGTTAGCCTTCTCAAGCTTCCTGAATTTCTTATATATATTTTAATGTATTTTTGAAGGTATAATTATAAAATCTTTTTTTTTAATACAGTTTTGAAAACAGATTCATTCGGAAAGCTCCTAGCAACAACATCAGCGCAGAATCAATCAATGAATGCAATGCAGAGGAAATTTAAAAAAAATGTATGTAACTTTGATTGACGTACATGTATCCTTTCTGGCTTGAAAGTTTTTCTTTTTAATATTTCTTGAATCAAATAAGGTCCCGAAAAAATGCACAGGAGGACAAATAAGATAAATATCTTATATAATGCTGTTTTGGAACCAGGATTTACTAATGGTAAGTCTTGACCTTTTTATCTGTTCTGTGGTCTTGAGGTTTTAGTTTTATTACTTTATTTATGATGCTTTCCCGTGACTTAGCACGCGTAAATTATAATAGCCTATGTCACCCGCTTATGGTGTAGTTTCCTGAAGGTGAGAGAGTTTAAAAACCATTCCAGTAGTTTCGAAGCCTATTTGATGCAAACAATGAAATATTTCCTCACTTTAATATTACTATAGAAATTTGCTCGACTGTTTACCAATAGTTAAGTTGCTTCTACGAGGGTCAAACTGAAAGTTCTTAGAAAATCAAAAACTGATTACATTAGCCAGTTATTAGTTTTATTATATCTTTTCAAAATATTGTCCATTCACGTCAATACACCGCTGCATGCGATGGAACCACTGGGAAAAGCACTTTGCCCACTCGTCCTTAGGGGTCTCTTCAATGGCATCGCGATACGCAGCCACCGCTTCTTCAGCATTCATAAACCGCTTTCCTTTAAGTTTTTCTTTAATTTTTGGAAATAAATAAAAATCACAAGGCGCGAGGTCGGGGCTATACGGCGGGTGACCCAGTAATTCAACGTTTGATGTCGCCAAATAGTCGATCGTTCGCTTGGCGGTGTGCGACGAGGCGTTGTCGTGGTGAAGGAGGATCCTACTGCGAGGTCGTTTCTCTCGAACTTTTTCCAAGACAAGTGGCAAACAATTGGTAGTGTACCATTCTGCAGAAACTGTTTTTTGATCCTCTAACACAATTGTTGCAAAATGACCTATCCTTCCAAAGAACGAGGCCACCATTTTTTTTCCCGCACTTCGATCTCTCTTCACTTTAGTTGGCAACTCCTCGAAAGGAAACACCCACTGAGCAGATTGTCTTTTGGTTTTAGGATCATAACAGTAAATCCAGCTTTCGTCACCTGTTAGTATGTCGAACACAGCATTTGAGTCACCTCCGTTAAATCTTTCAATCATTTTACGACACCAATCCACACGATGGAGTTTTTGAGCCTCAGTCAAATTATGAGGTATCCACCGGGCGCAAAGCTTCCTGACCGCTAAATGTTCGTGGAGGATTTTGTGCACTTG